AAAAAAATGAGAATTCATTCAAAGTCATCTTTTACAATAAAGACCTATGATTTGAATTACATACTATTGTAACTATAGAAATAATACTCAAAAGGGATTTCAAACTGGCTAATCCAGTAGCTTCCACAGAATGCCTGTGTGTCATGAATCTCCCTCCTGTGGACCACGGAGAAAATGTGTCAGAGCCAGGGCTCGAAGCCTAGCTCTCACCCTTGGAGGAGCCAGCAGAATCACAGCAGAGCACAACTTCCCCAAGAATCACAGCTGACGGACACACTGCACAACCACCTCCACTTCCTCCTCCACCGCACCACCACCTCCAACACCCGCTGCCACCACCGACCCAACATCACATCACAATCACTCCACTTCTCCACGGCCACCACCTCCTACAACTACCTCCACTTCCTCCACACACCACATCCACGGCCACTCCACCACCACCACTCCACGAACACTGCTACCACCTCCTCCTCCTCCTCCTCCACCACCACCATCGCCACCACCACCACCACCTCCGCCACCACCTCAAGTTGAGAAACACAGCCGAGCACAGACCACCACCACCTCCATCACCACCACCACCACCACCTCCATCACCACCACCACCACCTCCATCACCACCACCACCACCACCACCACACCATCAACCATCACCTCCATCACCACCTCCACCACCACCATCATGACCACTGCTACCTCTACTACCACCACTACCTCCACCACCACCACCACACCTCCACTACTTCCACCACCACCTCAAGTCAAGAATCACAGCCGAGCACAGACCACCATCACCACCTTCATGACCATCTCCACCATCACCTCCACCACAACCACATCCACTACCTCCACCATCACCACCATCACCTCGAGAATCACAGCTGAGCACACACTTCCATGAAAAACTTTTGATAAGTGTCATCTGTCTGCCGTCATCACTGGCCCTGCAGAGCCCACCAGGGCAGGCACTCACCTTGGCACTGTGAGCAGAGACAGTGGTCGTGACATACTGCAGACCCTCCAGTGCAGACCCTCCAGTGCAGACCCTCTAGTGCAGACCCTCCAGTGCAGACCCTCCAGTGCAGACCCTCTAGTGCAGATCCTCTAGTGCAGACCTTCTAGTGCAGACCCTCTAGTGCAGATCCTCCAGTGCAGACCCTCCAGTGCAGATCCTCCAGTGCAGACCTTCTAGTGCAGATCCTCCAGTGCAGACCCTCTAGTGCAGAGCCTCTAGTGCAGATCCTCTAGTGCAGAGCCTCCAGTGCAGACCCTCCAGTGCAGATCCTCCAGTGCAGAGCCTCTAGTGCAGATCCTCTAGTGCAGACCCTCTAGTGCAGATCCTCCAGTGCAGACCCTCTAGTGCAGATCCTCCAGTGCAGAGCCTCCAGTGCAGAGCCTCCAGTGCAGATCCTCCAGTGCAGAGCCTCCAGTGCAGACCCTCCAGTGCAGATCCTCCAGTGCAGACCCTCCAGTGCAGATCCTCCAGTGCAGAGCCTCCAGTGCAGATCCTCTAGTGCAGAGCCTCTAGTTCAGAGCCTCTAGTGCAGACCCTCCAGTGCAGAGCCTCCAGTGCAGATCCTCCAGTGCAGATCCTCTAGTGCAGAGCCTCTAGTGCAGAGCCTCTAGTGCAGACCCTCCAGTGCAGAGCCTCCAGTGCAGACCCTCCAGTGCAGAGCCTCCAGTGCAGATCCTCCAGTGCAGATCCTCTAGTGCAGATCCTCTAGTGCAGAGCCTCTAGTTCAGAGCCTCTAGTGCAGACCCTCCAGTGCAGAGCCTCCAGTGCAGACCCTCCAGTGCAGA